CTCCTCTCTTCTCTCTTCTCTCTCTTTCTCTCCTCTTTCTCTCTCTCTCTCTCTCTTCTCTCTCTCCTCTCTTCTCTCTCTTTTCTCTCTCTCTCTCCTCTCTCTTCTCTCTCCCTCTCTCTCTCCTCTCTCTTCTCTCCTCTTCTCTCCTCTTCTCTCTCCTCTCCCTCCCTCTGCATGCCTCCTAGATCTCTCCCCATCCAGGGGGCAGGGAGGGGGGGGAACCTCCATTCATTCATTCAACTTATATGCTTCCCATCTGGCCTGGAGGCAGCTCTAGGCGATATACAGTCAGTAAAACCAGTAAAAATACATGAAAACAATAAACAATAAAACCTTCATTTGCAGTTCGTCCACAACTTTAGACAAACAGTTGAGCCCAAAATTTCCGTGGACTTAACGGGGGTTAAGTCAATTTTGCCCCATTTTATGGCCTTTCTTGCCACCGTTGTTAAGTGAATCATTGCAGTTGCTAAGTGAGTAACGCGGTTGGTAAGTGACTCCGGCTTGGCCCTTCCTCTTTGCTGACCCCCTAAGTTAATCAAGAGAAATTAGTAGCAAGAGGGGTCCCCAGACTCCTGCTTTTTGTTGCTGTGACTCCTACCAGCCTCTGGGAGGCGGGGCTCCACCTTTCACCTTTTCCAGGAGATTTCCCCCCCCCCCCAGGATTTTCACCCTGCCCCTCCCTCTCTTTGTGTCCCCTTCCAGATGCCGTATGCACAGCCTGCCTTGATTCTGGAGCGAGCGAGAAGGATTTCTTGGAGAAAATCTGCAACCAGGATTTTGGTGAGTCTGGAGAAGGTTGGATAGCCGTTAGTCTGAAATGGTGTAGGGTCTGCTGCTCGAGCAGGGGGTTGGACTAGATGACCTCCAAGGTCCCTTCCAACTCTGTTATTCTGTTATTCTGCAATCCTTCCTTCCTTCCTTCCTTCCTTCTCCATCACTAACCACTTGTCTGAAATGTGTAGGGTCTGCTGCTCGAGCAGGGGGTTGGACTAGATGACCTCCAAGGTCCCTTCCAACTCTGTTATTCTGTTATTCTGCTATCCTTCCTTCCTTCCTTCTCCATCACTAGCCACTTGTCTGAAATGTGTAGGGTCTGCTGCTTGAGCACGGGGTTGGACTAGATGACCTCCAAGGTCCCTTCCAATTCTTTTATTTTGTTATTCTGCTTTCCTTCCTTCCTTCCTTCCTTCCTTCTCCATCACTAGCCACTTGTCTGAAATGGTGTAGGGTCTGCTGCTAGAGCAGGGGGTTGGACTAGATGACCTCCAAGGTCCCTTCCAACTCTGTTATTCTGTTATTCTGCTATCCTTCCTTCCTTCCTTCCTTCTCCATCACTAGCCACTTGTCTGAAATGTGTAGGGTCTGCTGCTTGAGTAGGGGGTTGGACTAGATGACCTCCAAGGTCCCTTCCAACTCTGTTATTCTGTTATTCTGCTATCCTTCCTTCCTTCTTTCCTTCCTTCCTTCTCCATCACTAGCCACTTGTCTGAAATGGTGTAGGATCTCCTGCTCGAGCAGGGGGTTGGACTAGATGACCTCCAAGGTCCCTTCCGGCATTCTGTTATTAAGACGAACGGTTGCAGGAACGGGGTAAGTCCAGTCAAATGAAGAGAAGGACTAGGGGGAGACATGATAGCAGTCTTCCGATATTTGAGGGGCTGCCACGAAGAAAAGGAGGGGGTCCACTTGTTCCCCAAAGCCCCTAAAAAAGGCAGGACAAGAAGCAACGGATGGAAACTCATCAAGGAGAGAAGCAACCTGGAACTAAGGAGAAACTTCCTGACAGTGAGGACAATTAACCAGTGGAACAACCTGCCACCAGAAGCGGTGAATGCTCCAACACTGGAAGTTTTTAAGAAGAGACTGGACAGCCTTTGTCTGGAATGGGATAGATTTGGACTAGAACAGGGGTCTTCCAACTTGGCCCTTTGATGACTTGTGGACTTCAACTCCCAGAATTCCTCAGCCAGGCACGCGTGCCTGGCTGAGGAATTCTGGGAGTTGAAGTCCACAAGTCATCAAAGGGCCACGTTGGAAGACCCCTGGACTAGAAGATCTTCAAGGTCTCTTCCAGCTCTCCGATTCTATGAGACAGAAAGATAAGATAGATATGACAGACAGACAGACAGACAAGATAGAAAATGGATGGATGGATGGATGGAGACAGATAGACCGATAGACAGACAGACAGACAGATGATAGAACCAATCAAGGAGAAAAGCAACCCAGGAACTAAGGAGAAACTTCCTAACAGGGAGGACAATTAACCAGTGGAACAGCTTGCCACCAGAAGTTGTGGGTGCTCCAACACTGGAGGTTTTCAAGAAGAAACTGGACAGCCATTTGTCTGGGATGGCGCAGTGTCATCCTGCCCGAGCAGGGGGATGGACTAGATGACCTCCAAGGTCCCTCCGTTATTCTGTATTAAGTCTTGACCTTCAGTTGCCCTCTTCCTTCTCCCTCTTTCAGCTCTAAAGATGACCATCAAATCCTTGTCCGGCGTTGGGGGCGACCTGAAAGTCATCCCAGAGCTCCGTGGCCGGACGCTTTACAAGCAGGCCAACTGGTCCGAAGACGAGCGGAAGAAGCCGGTCCTGTGGCTGGTGGACGGCGAGGCCTGCTCCTGCGAAGAGCTGGCAGGGGGGCCGGGCACGGTGGTGCTGGCCATGGGCCACCGTCTCAGCAACCGCCTGGTCCTCTCCTGGGTCAGGAGGTGGAAACACGGGGAGAAAGAGCTGAAGAGGTTCTCCAGGGCGGTGCGGAAGCTGCAGTGTTAGAGCTGGCTCCTCGCTGCCCATCATCCCCTGCCAGCTGTGGACCCTGGGGATGGAGGCTGGGCCCGCAGACAACTGGTTTTCCCAGGTCGCAGACAAACTGGCCCGAAGGGAATAGCTAGCAAACTTGGAGGAACAGGAGGGGGATAATACAGGTGATCCTAGACCAGGGGTCTTCAAACGTGGCCACTTTAAAGACTTGTGGACTTCAATTCCCAGAATTCCTCAGCCAGCCATGTTTGGAGACCCCTGTCCTAGACTTACAACGGTTCATTTAGTGATCTCTCAGAATTACAACGGCACTGGGCAAATGGCTTATGTTCATTTTTCACACTTAACGACGCTTGCAGCCTCCCCGTGATCACGGGATCAAAATTCGGACGCTTAGCAACTGGTTCATACTTAGGACGGTCGCAGTGTCCCCAGATCACGCGATCCCCTTTGGCGACCGTCCGACAAATCAAGGGGGAACCCAGATTCACTTAACAGCCGGGTTACTGACTTATCAACTGCAGTGATTCGTTTAACAACGGTGGCAAGGAAGGTCGTAAGATGGGGCAAAACTCACTTAACAGTTTTCTCGCCTAGCCACAGAAATTTAGGGGGTTCAATTACGGTCATAAACTGAGGACTATCTTTAAAATGACAGGATGAGAAGCAAGATGGGAGAGAGGGGTACTTTTTGCTAGACAATCACAAGGGAAGGAAACTGACCGGGAGCGAGTCTGTTTTTTAAAGCCATATTAAAAGTTTGTAGCCAGAATTGCCTTGAGCAGGGAACAATTTGGGATTGTGAATTTAACACCCACGCAAGAACAGAAGCTGTGCCCAGCTGGAAGGGATCCGGGCCCGTCTGTCCTCCCAGGGCCCCCCACCAACAGCCCCCAGATCAGGAGTCTTCAAACTTGGCAACTTTAAGCTTAGTGGACTTCAACTCCCAGAATTCTGGTAGCTGAAGTCCACAAGTCATA